GCCCAGCACTCTACTGGGGGTGTCAAAGTGAGACTCTGTCTCAAAAATACATAAATAAATAAGTATCCAGCCATAGGGAGTGTCTCTCCCTAGCCACAACCCATGGGGCTGTATCTCACCCCAGTCTGGAAACTCTTGTCCTCCTCCCCCCCCCACCCCCCGCAGGCTGCCCTCCGTTCCCTGCATGCCAAGCATCCATGGGAGACGACAGAGGCATACCCTACACTCCAGGTCCCTCTCTTTCCTGCCTTGGACTCCAGGGGGCTGGCAAGGCCCCCAGGAGCCCAAAGGAAGTTGGCCAGGCTTACAACCTCCCATCTCTTGAGTGGTTGGATTCTAGAAAGGCTTGGATCCCGTGTCGGCTCCCACCTCTCTGCAGGGAGGCCCCATCCCACACTGCTCAGATCCACCTCATGGTGAGGGAGCCCAGAACCTTCAGGGAGACCCTGCCATACGTCCTCTGCCCTAGGGTCGTGGGATTGAGGGGCTTCTCCATCCACCTTCCTGACTTTGATAAGGACTCTCAACTCCTCATCTGTGTATTTCGCCTCTGAAACTTCCATTTTGAGCAGTCCCTCAACTGGAGAGCCAGCCAGCCTCCCTGCAAGCGCCTCCCCTCACTCTGGGCCCCTGGCTGGCCAGGGTCTCGCTCCCTGCTTCTGTCCCTAGGAAGAGCCTGGTCTGCAGGCTCCAGGCTCCTTTTCTGCCACTCCCTTAGGCCTGAGCTGGACTCTTATAAATGAGGCCTCGAGAACCTGACTGGGGCAGGTGCTGTGATCCAGATGTCCTCCGTCACCCTGATCAATAGGAGGGCTGTGTACTGTCTTCTGTAGCAGGACAGAGCACCCACCAGTACCTCCTGCCACGGTATTAGCGTATATTCCCTCACTGCATCTGAAGGTCGTAGCAGCTAGCTGCGCAGAGCAGCTCTCTGCAGATGGGGAGGAGGCATCAGTCAGGTGCACTGCTTTGTTTTTGCTCCCACATTGACCCTCATCACTGAGCCTTGGCAAGTTCAGCCGAGGGTTGTCACCCATGCTGAGCAGGGAAGAACTGTGAGATGGGATGTTCAAAGTACAGAATTTCAAGGCGGTAAATGATTTTAGCAAAGGCTGTAGAAAGACAAGGATTCTGAGTGCTGAGGGGATGGGGCAAAGCACGTCTGGAGGATCAGTGGCCGCCCCCGCTCTGCTGTCCCACCTTGCACAGTCTCGCACTGGCTCCACTTTGTTCTGTCCACATTTCCTCCCTCCTTTGATTTGTGTAAAAACCTTTTATTCTTTATCAAGATAGATGCTTTGTCTCCACTCATTTTCATTTCTAACAAATTCCATAACATACAAATGTTGCTCTAACCTCACTGCTCTGATACACTTTCCTGTTTGACAAGTGTGTGACCTGCTGTGACCTCCTTCTGCTCCTATGGGGTGGTGTGGGGTCGCCCAGCTGTGCCCTCAGCCCCACCTGACACGCTGATGGCTTTTTCTTAAATGTATGCCGATTTAGTAAAAGTATAAGGTGTTTTTCTTGAAGTAAATTGTGTTTATTTAGGTGAACAGCACAGTGTTACAGGGCAGGTAGTGAAAAGGTGGCTTCTCTAGTGAAGCAAACTAACATACCCACATGTGGTTGCCTCTGTTGGCTTGCGTGGCAAGAGCAGCTGCTGTGCCCGTTTGCCTGCCCCCGGTGCAGCGTGGTCTCTGTGCACAGTGCTTTTGGTCTGCGTGCCTCGGGCTCGTGTTCCACACAGCCCTCCTGTTCTCTCTTTCAGATCCCAAGGACGTCAGGTGCTCCTCCACCCTGTCCGCGGTAAGGACGTCTTCCCCATCCCTTCTCTACTAGAATGGGGTGCTGTCTGCTGGGTGTTCTGGTCCCTTCACTAGCCTGATGTTACCTGTGCAGTGTCAGTGGAAAGAAAGTGAGAACAAGTGTCCCACCCTCAAACTGTTGGCAGTTCTAGGAAAGAGTTGGCCATAACCCTATCAACAGAACCCTGGGCAAGGTTTGATGCCATCTGTGTGGAGGACCTCAGGCTGAGGGTGACCAGAAGGCAGGGCCTGGCCAAGCGAGGACCTCCTGGCTTTCCCTGGGGCCCCCAGGGTGCCTGGATAAAAGGTACAGGTGAGCCAGTTGCTGTCACCTTAGATGGCAGCCCTCAGGTCTGCCCAGCACCTGTCCCTTCTCTCCTGTTCCATGTGTTCATGCTCAGCTGGCAAAGGCCCCCGTGGTCAGGATTGTGCAGAGCTCCTGCCCTGCATGCCTGCACCCATGGCCAGCCCTCCATTCGGCCCCAGGCTCCTCCCCTCTCTCAGCCCAAGCTCTTACAGTCACCTCCACTCTTCCCCTGTCCCCAGTAACATACCAGGAACATGTAGGGGCATTAACCACTGTCTTGGAAGAAAGTCTGTCTGCCCTTACACTCTGCCCCCTGCAGCACCCTCCTCTCCTTGGGCCTCCTCCATCCCCTGAAACAGCCCATCTAGTTCCCCAGCAATGTCATGTGGCGACCTGACACGGTCAGCTCCCCAGCTTCACCCCATTCAACCAGCCACCTGCACTGACGCGTTCCCTCCCTTCGGGAGAGTCTCCCTCCCTTGGCTAGCATGCTGCCATGGGGGTAACAGTGTGGGGCCCTCAGGCCTGGGGCTTTTGGCATTTCAGTCGGCTTGGCCGTCTGCCCACAGCCCCAGGGTCACAGGTGTATGGACACTTCACCCTCCCACAGCATGTCTGCTTGTCTCAAACTTAACACAACCAGAGGAGACCCTTTGATTTCACCCCTAAATCCACTGGTCCCCTGGCATCCCCCATTTTAGACAAGGAGCCACTAGCACCCCATGGACAGGCCAGACCTGCGGGGTTCGCCTCAGCTTCTCTGGCACCCTGTGCCTGGCCAAGTTCCTTCTGCATGTGGGTTGGGGGATATGAAATAGAGACCCTCTCACCTCCGCCACAGTGCTCCCAGATACCACCTTCATCTCTCTGAGCCACTGTCAGCAGCCTCCTGGCACAATCCACTTTTGCCCTTCTCAAACCTCCTCTTCACACATCACATACAAGACCTTCTTGAAACAGAAGTCAGCACGGCCCCACCTTGCTCAACCTTCATGTTACCCAGCAGCTCCCATTTCATTCTGCATAAAGTCCCCTTGACCTGCTTACTGTTTGCCCCACTGAAGCACAAAGATCAGCGGGGCGGCTCCCTCCCAGGTCAGCGCTGAACAAGAGGGAGCAGAGAGCTCTCCTGCTTATGCTCTGGATGCCATGCTTTCAGCTGCCATTCCTTTGGAAAGAGGGTTCTGGTACATTATCAAAAACAAAATAAGGAAACTAATTTAATTTTGAAAACCACTGCCTTCGGGAAGGAAGGTCAAATACCTTGTGATTGTTTTCAATACTATCGTTGATATTTAAAATGTGTCTAAAGCTATGTTCCTGCTATTTTCAAGTAATATGATCAATAATTTTTCTTTAACCTCCAAATACCTTTTCAGAGGCCTCTAGACGTAAAAGTGTGTGTCTAACTGTTAGTCTGAATAGCAGTTAATAAATGAACTGTTTTCCCCAGTTTCCAGGCATTTCAGATGCCCTGTGGGTCTGACTTCCAAGTCTGGTGGTGTTTTCTTCCCAAACTGATCCCAGAACTAGTGTCAGGAATCTGAATACTGTGGGCCTCTTGTAGAGATTATTTGGTTTGGTTTAGAATGCTGTGAATAAATAATGTCTTTCTGAGTATAGATTAAATATTTATTTTAAAGAAATTTCATTTAGACTGTTTCAGAAACAAAGAACAATGAACTGTTATTGTTAGAGAATGTCAAGAATTTTTTTTGGCACCATTAATTATCATCAAAGGGCTTTCAACATCAAGACTTTTAGAAATAGTGATCAGGAAATGGCACTTTTATCTTAGTATCCAAGAAACTGCCTTCATTTCTCCATCTTTCCACTTGGAAATGGGAGATAATTTTTGGAATGATTCTGAGTTTTGAAGGCAACAGTGTAATCGTGTAATCGTTTCATGCTTTGTCCCCCTGCCAGTGGCAGAGCTGCCTCCCAGGGAGCTCCTAACTACTCTCTCCCCCTGTGAGGTATTTTCCTGTCTGCATCAGTTGCCTTACCTAGGAAGGTCTTTGTTCCTCACTTGTTACACGAAAATGTTGGGCTGTGCTCTTTTCAAATGCCTTTCAGTTCAAAACCATTAAGAAATGTCCAAGCCATTAAGGAAAGTTAAGTTGCCTTAGTTGGAAAATTTTTGCATTTTGTTATAACTTGGTCTTGGCTGTTTTTTTAAGAAAAGACTTTATATTCACATTCTGTTACCTGAAAGTCTGGAGCCTTGAGATTGCAGCCCATTATTTTATTGAAATCATTTGTCTGATTTCCTTGTGCTAACTTTTTTTGTGAAGATAGTATCTTTGATGCAATAGAGTTAGCTTTAAACTTTTGGCTGTGGATTGAGTAATTGTTCTAATTAATATTTTTCTCCCAGCATTCAAAAGGCTATGAGAATGGTACAAACAGATTTAAACTCCAGAAGCAAACCTTAAACAACGAAAAGAACAAGCCTCTGGTAAGTTATACATGACTTCCACTTGCTAGAGTGCCAGAGCAGCAGGAAAAGGCTTTCAAACCACATTGGCCATCTGTCCCTCCACCTTGGTGACATGTCACAGACATCCAGGGTCTTAAAAAAATTAAGTCTCATAGTTCTGTAGAAAAGTTGAGTATGCCCTTATTAACAATTTGTGGATAGTAAGATAACTTATTTTATGTTTTATAATCAAATTTGAAAGTGCTTTATTCATTTAACAATGATTTGCAGCTTCCAGTGTGCCAAGCACTATTCCACGTTGGTGGGGGTCAAGCAGCAAGTACAGACCGAAAACAGCCAACAGAGATTGTCAGGTGGCACCAAGTGCCAGGACGACAGAATGAACAGGCACTCTTGCAAGCCTGCTCTCTTGGGAGGCTTACCTAAGCCAATGGTTTTAGAGCTAAGCTGTGAAGGACGGAGGGCCATCTGCAGGGGTCAGGGCACAGCAAAAGGGTAGGGTGGGAGGTATACACAGAATTGATGTCAAGGACCAAGAACAGGTGAGGGAGCCACAGAAACTATAGAATCAACTTCTACTCACACTCTGACAGAGGAGGGAGTCAAGGCACAGAGTCGACCTTGGCCGCCCTCTCACAGAGGAGGAAGTCAAGGCAGAGAGTGGACCTCAGCCCACCCTCTCAGAAAGGAGGAAGTCAAGGCAGAGAGTCGACCTCG